GAGGACTGGACCTCCTGTCTGTCCATATCTCATGAATTCAAGAGATTTATTCACCTGCCCTACCCCTTTCTCTGAATAACTGACCCTAAAGTATACAGTCAGCTTTTATGCTTGGATTCAACATCCAGGGATTCAATCTATGGCAGATCAAAAATATTTTTTAATTATTTCTGCATTGATTGGTAAAGACATTTTTGTGTCATGATTCCTTAAACAATGCAGTGTAACACAATTAGCATAACATTTAAATCATATTAGATGTCATAAGTAATCTAGAGATATTTGAAGTATATAGGAGGATGTGCATGGATTATATACATATACTATGTCATTTTATGGAAGAGCTTGAGCATCTGAGGATTTGCTAGAGTCCTGGAACAAATTTCTCATGGGTGTCAAGGGACAGCTGTATAAAGTTATGTCACTTTCCTTAGGCATATTCATTCTCCATACATCAGCTCAATAGAAGTGGGATACGTCACTTTTATTCTTAGGTTGATCCTTAGTGATTACACAGAATCAAACCCCATCTCAACACCTCAGATATACAAATTTCTAGTAACTGTTTTCCTTTCATTCCTATTTGTTTCTATAAAATGAACGGATTAAGAGTACAAGTTCAAGCCAGACTCCTGAGTCCAAATCCCTCTATCAGTATTGTTTCGTGGTTTCAGATAAAAGGCTAAACTCCTCTGCCCATTTTTTCTTTTACAGACTGGAGGTGATAACAGTACCCAACTCATAAATCTGATGAGTTAATACATTTAAAATACATAGAACAGAGATTGGCACATGTAAAGGTTTACTGGTAACAGTCCAACCTTGTTATCCATGATAACTGTTTCTAGGACCCTCGTGGATACCAAAATCTGAGGATGCTCAAATCCCTACAATATTTGCATATTATCTATGCATATCTTTCTCCTGTATACTTTAAATCATCTCTCGATTGCTTATAATACCTGAAACAATATAAATGCCATGTAAATAGTTGTTATACAGTATTGTTAAGGGAATAAGAAGAAGAAAAGGTCTGTGTATATTCACTATAGGCATATTTTTTCTACAAATATTTTAGATTTGTGGTTGGTTGAATCCTTGGATGTAGAAGCCATGGATACAAAGGGCCAAATGCATTTTTACTGTTTGCTTAGAATGCTGCATTCCCAGTACCCACAGGTATGGAACACAACAGTCCCTTGACTATTTGTAAAATAAATGTTCTAGAGTTGACTGCTGGGAAAATTGCCTATTGATAAATGGTCACTGGATAGTTATTAAAATAAAATACAAACTCCCATAGTGTACTGGGGAAAGTTTGAACTAATTTAAATTTGTTTCCTCAGAACTTTTGACTCCAGGAAAGGTGTATTTTTGGAGGAACACACTTATTATTATCTTGTCCACCTGAGGCATCAGGAAAAAATTCAAAAGAACATTGTGTTCATTACGTTTTCCATTTGCTAGTAAGAGACCATACCAACAGGGCAAATGAGACTATGGATAGTTGGCAAGCGCCCGTAATCTGGTCTCAATAATCTCACCAGCCCTATGGGGGGGCAGGCTGCACAGAGAGACCTGGGAATCTGGCCTGGCTTCACCTGGGGCACAACCTGCAATCCAAGAGCCCATCCTCTGTCCCAGTGCCAGCATGGCTTAGCAGTGAAGGTTTACTTGGGTCCATTTGTTCCTATCTAGTACACCTTTGGGGAGAACTTTTCACCAAGCCAACTCAGAGATGGTCATCCTCCCGCATGGCAGAGTGATATGCAGGCACTCTGGGGTCTGCTCTGGTCTGAAAGTGCTCGTTCCTCCAAAAGTCATGTGTCGGAACCTAATACTCCATGTGATGGTGTTACAAGGTGGGGTGTGTAGGGAACCAATTAAGTCATGAGTGCTCTACCCTCATGAATGGAATCAGCACTTCTTATAAGGAATTAGCACTGTTATAGTCCCTTTTTGGTCTTCCACCATGTGAGGGCATAGCACAGTTCCTTTTTGGCCTTCTGCCTTCTGCCATGTGAGGACACGGCAACAGAGTGCCATTTAGAAACAGAGAGCGAGCTTTCAGAAGACACCACATTTGCTGTCTGCTTGGTCTTAGACTTTCCACCCTCCAGGACTATGAGAAAAACATTTCTATTATTTATAAATTACCCACTCTGAGGTCCAATGTTATAGCAACATAAATGGACCTCCAGAGTAGACTGTTTAGTATCTCAGAAGCAGCTTCTGGGAGGGAATCATGGATTCTACTTGATACTTGTATAACTTTGTAGAAATTCTGAGGTCCTGGGTCACTCACTTTGTTGAGATTCTAGTAAAATCCTTTCTTATCAAGTAATTCATTGAAAAGTTTTACCCAGTGAAAACAGGCAGAAGAACAATAGGACCAGACCAGTGACGTGTTCCCCATTTTCTCCATGTGTCTACTGCACTGATAGCTCTGGGGTACACACCCCGCTGGGTGGAACTAGAATGTAATCCATAGGAACAACACAGTAAGATGAGACTCAGGATGCAAGAGTAAGGACTCTGAGTGACAAGAACATTCTTAGCTTCTACAAGGAAGGTGACGGCAAGTCAAAAGAAAAATAAAGGACAGAGGAGATGAGAGGAGGAATTTTGAGGTAGAGGAGGAAAAGTGAAGGAGTGGAAATTAAAAACATCCTCCTGGTACAGCAGATAAAGAGATCATCTGATAAAAAGCAAGGCAGGTTTGGGTTGGAATCTCAAGGAAGATGGTTGAGATTTAGAAAAGCCCAGAACCTCTCTCTTTTCCCAGTTCCAGAACATTCCAAGCTAATCCTGTAGCAAAAAAAAAAATTTATTGGAAATATTCACTCAGTGATCATTATGTGCCAGCCCTGAGCGAGATGACCATGAGCCAGGCAAACATAATCCCTGTGTTCTTGAAGTGTCCAGGTCTAGACGGGAAACACGGACAGCAAGCTTTAAAGAGAGGCGGTGGAGTTCACGGGGGTGGGGGTGGGGTGGGGGTATTGCCTTTGGGGAGATCAGACTGCAGATGGGCGCCATGCCAGATGGAACTAGTTAGGACAAGAACGCAGGGGCCACGTTAAGACTCTTTCCCCTCTAGGCTACCGAATTCTTCTAAAGCAGATTGCCCTGCCTTTTACCTGTCTCTAGTCTTATGCAATACCATCAAATTCACCATTATTATCATGATTCTGCTCAAAAACTGTCAATAGCTCCCCAGTGCCTACCGCCTAGACTGGAACAGCTTTTCTTTCTTTCCACTGAGTTTATTGGTACATTTTAGGTATAAAATAAAGTTACATTCATCACTGGGATCTTGTACCTGTACATGTTGTACCTTGGTTCTTATTTTTCCCCATTCCCCAGCCCTCCCTTCACCCCCTCCACCCTTCCCTATTTACAAAGACTTTGTTTCCATGTCTTTCCTTTTCCCTTCTTTCCTTTCTCCTACCCCTCCCTTTAGACATTTTCTTCCCCTACTCCTTTAGACCTTTTCTTCCTATTTCACAATATCAATTATACATTTTGATTCTTATTTACACTTTTAGTTTTTCACACCAGAGAAACTATTCGGTATTCACACGTGTGTCCTATTCATTTCACTTAAGAGTATGGCCTCAATGTGCATCCACTTAGCTACAAATGTCTCCAGTTTCTCTTTCTTTATGGCTGAGTAGTACTCCATTTTATAAAAAATGGACTGGAACACCTTAAGCTAAGACTCAAGGCTCAACCTTCCTTCCACACCGATACCCATAGCTCTGTAACCCAGTTGGACACACAGAGTGTCCTTCACATGGGTCTCATTCTTCATCAGCTCTTCTCTTTTGTCCCTGCTGCTCCCTTCACCTTGAGAGCTCTTCTTCAATGTCCCATTCCTGCTTGAAGACTTCACTCTCACTTCCAGCAGGAGGTATTCTCTGATCCCCAGTACTAGAAGCAACCTCCTTCTCTTCTGTAGACCCACAGAACTCTGTTCATACCCAGGACACTTTGCAGTCTTCTTGCACTGTGGTTATTTTTACACCCTCCACATCTCTCTGTTATAGTGTAAATCTAATAGGATCTTGCCTCATTCTCTCTTAAACTCCATAATGCTGTATACTCCAAAACAAAATCTACAGTCAAGCCCTCTATATCTGCAGGTTTTTCATTCATAGTTTCCACTATGAATTGGAAATATTTTGGGGGAAATGTATCTATATTAAGTGTGTACTTATTTCTTTCTAGTCATTATTCCCTAAACCATGAACCCTAACAACTGTTTATAAAACATTTATATTATATGAAGTATTGTAAATAATTTAGAGATGGTTCAGCATGCATGGAAGAGTGTGCATAGGTTAGGGGGAAATGCTGCAACATTTTACATAAGGACTGGAGCATCTGCAGCTTTTGGTACCTGTGGTAGGCCTGAAACCTCTTCCCCAGGGATACAGAACAACTGTATTTAGCTAAAAGAAAGGCTTAGTAATGTTGAAGTTAATGTTTTAAAAAGTAGACATGTTAGAATGCATGCTTAGAAGTTTCCTGTGCTCCTGAACAATTTGGTTCTTATAGATATATTACTTTCTGCATTCCTGTCACACAAATGCTCTAAATGCATGCACAACCCACCCATCCATCAGTTATCCAGTGTAAGTTTATTGGACGCCTGCTCTATGCAAGGCATGTGCAGGAGAGGCATGGTGCTGGCCCTGACAGTGCCTTATGTTGTTTCTCTTTCCTCCAGATGTGGGGACCTACGAGGCACTGCACAGTCCACAGCTGGGCAACAGCAACTTGGAATAGGAATGACCTTCATTTAAGTTGAGACCTATTGGGCAGAATAAGCCTTGTAATGTGCAGAACCGAGTGAGATGCGATTTTAACATTGACAGAGAAGGTTGGTCTTCGGAGATTCATCTTTGTGGTTGTTTGGAGATTTTGCTTTAGGAAGGAATCAGGCACACCCCAACCCCTTTTTCTGTCTTGTCTGCAATTAGTTTCCAGGTACTCACCCAGGAAGGCCTTCCAGTTCATGTTTTCAGCCTGAAACAAACGCCAAAGAAAATTCAAAATCAATAGTTTCCAATCTAACGACGTTAACAAAAAAGAGAAAGGCGCCCAATTGCCAATTACAGTCAATATATAAAGGGGAAATAGGTACAAATACACCTGTTAAGAAGTAAATTGGATTTGTTTATGTTCATTTCTAAATCAAGCAACTTTTAAAAGTTGCTGTGTATAAAATACTTTTTAAAAAAATAAGGTTGCAAGCTATAAATGCATCTGATCTGGAAGCCTCACTAAAGCACCAGATGTCTAACTGTCCCTCCCTTTATCCTCATGCTGGGGGTGGGGGACACACAAGCCAGTCCCATTATCCACTTCTGGGCACAAATCACAAACCCACGGGGACCCAACCCTTTTTGCGCCCCTTCAGCAGGGGCCTCCAGATTTCCTCAGACCTCTGTGCAGCACTGCCTGGTGCAGGGAGCTCTTGTCTTGGCAGGCGCTTCTCTCCCCCGGCCTCTGCCTTCCCCCTCTCCTGCTCCCTTCTCCCACGGCCCATCTGCCCCTCCGCTCCTCCTCCCGTCTCCCCTTTATTTGCACCCGGCACCCTGGCGCAGCTCTCCCTCCCCCGCCCCTCCGCCGGCTGGATCTGGAGCTCCCGGAAGCCGCGGCGACTCTCCCCGGGCGCGGCGTGACTGACAGCGACTCCCATCCAGGGGGGCGGAGGCAGCAGGAGGAGAGGGCGGAGGGTGCCAGTGACCGAACACGGATTTGCATCGCGGAGGACGGGACCCGGAGCCCCAAGCAGGTAATCCGGGGCTGCGCGGGCTGGCGAGTGTGGGGAGGTGCGGGGGCGCAGCTGTCAGACCACGCTCGCAACTCGCGCCCGGCGCTGGGGCGGGGAAGGGGCCGGGGCGCCGGGCCGGGGCCCGGGAAGGCGGCGAGGGCCGGGCGCCGGGCTCGGAGCCCCATCTGGGTCAGCGCGGGAGCGCACCCGCCCGCCCGCGCCGCCTCCCGGCCCCTGTCCCCGCGTCCCGGCGGCCGCGGCCTGCCCGCCTGACCCCGAGCCGCGCGCCCCAGGCCGCGCTAACTTCGCAGGTCTCGTCCGCTGGGCTCTGAGCTCCGCCGGCGTGGAGTGCGGGGCTGCTGTCACTGAGATGGATGTGACTGGGGCCACCGTGGTCAGACGGTGCTGGAAAGAAACTGGTCGAGCTCCCCGGCAGATCTTGACCTGAGGCGATGAGTCACTTCTGAAAAATGCAGAGGCTGTGAGACTTTGAGGGATGGCTCTGAAAATGGTCCCCTTGCAGCCGGCTGGCGACTGCTGTGGACAGAGGCTTGTTGTGCCAGTGGCCGCGGTATCATCACTTTTAGGGCTCCTAGTCGGAGGTGCGTGTGGGAGCCCTTATTCTCATAGCAGCCCCAGAGGAGCTGCAAGTTTGAATCGATGCACTCTCCAAAATGAGTAAAAATTGCTGACTGCATTCAGGATATTGAACCAGGATTGAGGTTCAGACAGCCAGAGCAGAGGTAACTTAGCCAGAAGGTCAAGGATTTTGGGTGATACAGTCGTGGGGACACAGAAGCCTATGGAGCTAGGCACCATAGTTTACCAAAAGAGTTGGCGGAATCCCGTTTCTTTGAGGCTTACTTAGATGTCTTTAATTCTTGGTGAACTATCTAAATCCACTTAATGTAAGATTACAATGTTAGTGTTGTCTTTAGGGGAGCTACGGTTACTAGAGTTACTTAGATTATAAGCCTGCTGAGGGCTAGGAGAGGTTTGCAGTTTCTACAGCACTGCATGACGATTAAATTCACCAACTGAATAAACAAGGTCTGTGAAAATTATTAAATCTGTAGTTTGCCTGAGATCTTGAAGACACGCATATTTGCAAGGAAAGACCTTTTTCTCCATGAAATCTCAAACCTAAAAATGCTTCATAAAATTAGAATCAAGGCATCATATAAATATTTATTAAGGGTACTGAGAAATAGAAGTTACTGTGAGAAATCATGAAGGTAATTACCAAGGTGGTCTTTCCTAGATGTAGGTTTTTGCTGCTCATCTTTGAAAGAAGTAATTTCATTTGTTGATACAGTGTAGAGTTTGGTAAACTTTTTGAATCAGAAGCTAAATGTCAATATGTGGAGTTTGCAAGCCATGTGGGTTCTTTAATGATGGTTTCATTTTGCTGTTGTAGGTTGAACACAGCCAAAGTCAATACATGAAGGAATGGTATGACTGTGTTTCACTTTACTGTAAATATTGAAACTTGAGGTCCATATAATTTTCAGCAGGAACAAAATATTTTTCTTCTTTTCTTTTACCAGACATTAAGAATCTATAAAAACCACTCTTCATTTAGGGAAGGAGGGAGAAATACAAACAAAAAAGGAGAAGGGAGTGGATTTGTCCTGCTGGCAATACTTAGCTACTCCTACCCACACTGAGCAGGAGTTCAGAGAAGATCTTTCCAAAAGGATTAATGAACTAGATTCTCTATGTCCCAAAATTATGCTTGGGGGTTAGGTTAAACACTCCCAAGAAAAGCATTAGATTATTTGGGGCATTACGATATTTTGTTTTGCTTTGAATGTTTTTAACAGACATCTTTAAGCATAAGTTTTAATTAATCAATTATGTAATATTTTATACAAAAATATGCTCTGTCTATGTAAGTTATGAATATTATAATTCAAGTGAACACCTATTAACCTATCACCAGGCTTAAAACTAAGAGTTAAGAACCAGGTAGTAGTAAAAAGATAACTCATAGAATGGGAAAAATACTTGAAAATCACATATCTGAGAAGGGACTGGTATCCACAATATATAAAAAGCTCTTGGGCCGGGGATTTAGCTCAGTGGTTTCGGCGCCTGCCTCACAAGCGCAAGGTCCCGAGTTTGATCCCCGGTACCAAAAAAAAAAAAAAAAGCTCTTGTATCTCACTAATAAAAAGATAAATAGCCCAATTTAAAAATGAGCAAAGGATCTGAATGAATATTTCACCAATGAAGATATACAAATGGGCAATAAGTCCATGAAAAGATGCCCAACATCACCAGTCGTCAGGGAACTGCAAATCAAATTCTCACCACAGTGAGATACCTTTTCACTCTCTCCAGCAGGGCTATAATTAAAAAGTCAGGTAGTAACAAGTGTTGGTGAGAATGTGAAGGAATTGGAAGCTCATACATTGCAGGTGGGAATATAAAATGTTGTGCTCATTCAGAAAACAGTTTGATAGCTTTTCAGTTAAGCAGCTACCAGTAGTGCTTAGCTAAGTAGCGACCTAGCAACTGCATTGTAAGTATATACTCGAGAAACAAAAACATATACACAGATGTTTATAACAAGACCATTGATAATAGCCAAATACTGGAAGCAACCCAAATATCCATCAGCTGACGAATGGATACATAAAATGTGTCATATCCATATAATGGTATATTATTTGGCCATAAAAAAGAATGAAATACTGTACCTGCTACACCGTGAATAAACCTTGAAAACATGCTAAGTGAAAGAAGCCAGTCACAAAAGACCCCATATTGTATGATCCCATTCATATGGAAATACCCAAAATGAGGAAATCTAGAGACAGGAAGTAGATTAATTGTTGCTTGGGGATGGAGGTTGGAGGTAGGTTTGGTAAGGGAATGATAGATAAAGGTTACAGAGTTTGTTTTTGAACTGATGAAAATATTCTGAAAGTGACTGTAGTGATAGTTGCACATATCTGTGAGTATATAAAACAGATTGTACACTTTACATTGCTGTGTGGTATGTGAACTATAGCTCAGTAAAACTGTTAAAGAAAATACACAGGAGGCCGAGGCAAAGAAAAGCTAGATTGTTGCTGATCACGTTGCCCCTTTCTTCTCCTTCCCTGTGAATTTCCCTGGGTCTCTCTTAACTCTGGATTTTGTGTAAATCCTTCCCTGGTTTAATTGCAAAACAATTTCATGACATATGTATGGATTCCTAAACAACATGTTGTTTGGGTTGGCATGTGTTTTGATTTCTAGGAAAGGTGCGTATGAGCTCACTTTCTTGAAACTCAACACTAAGTTTTTAAGAATTACCCATGTTACATAAAATGGTGTGACTTTAAAGCAAATACCCCACAATTTATTTAACCATTTTCTTGTTGACAGGCAATCTAGATTGCTTCCCATGTTTTACTGTTACAAAGAGTGGTGCTTTAAAGACTTTTCCATGTATCTTGGCAAGAGTTCTTTGGTGTGAACGTGAAGGTGCCATGTGTTTTAATGGAAAAAATGGATTTTTTTTAGTTATACATTGATGATGTATACCTGGCTTATTCAGTCCTTCTACCCAGGATAAAGAAACTAGATCTGAGATTCACACTTCTTACCTAACTAGTAATTGTAATGTCTATGTTTTTGATGTCTTAAGAAGTGTGGAAGAACATTAATCTAAAATTCCCAACTGAATTTCACATTATAACCCAATGATTCATGAGCATCTTTTTTTTTATTAGATAGCCTGGGTTTAGCATGGGCAGAAGACAACTTTATTTGATCAAATGGCTATTACTTTAAGCAAGGTATATGAGCAGCTACTCAAGTTCACTACAATTTTCCTTGTGTTATATCCTGCTGGGCATTCCAGTATTTCTAATATGGTTTAGTTTGGTTATTTTGGTAATGATGAGTCCATTGGAAATTTGGTGCTTTAGTTATGGGCAGATTCTAGGTTGGCCCTCATTTCAGGCTCTGAGCTTTGCCAGTTCATGCAGGATATTTCTACTTGTGCTTCTGAAGGAAGTGGGGAGCATCTTAGGCTCAGAATGAGTTTTTACAAGAAATTTTGTGAATATGTTTTTATTTTGGTAAGATGTGCCTATCATAAAATTTTACCATCCTAGCCATTTTTAAGTGTACAGTTCAGTGACATCAAATACAATCATCATGTGGTACAATCACCAATACTATCCATCTCCAGAACTTTTCATCATCCCAAACTTTGTGTCATGAATAATAACTCCCCTGAGTAACCACCATTCCACTTTCTGCCTGTATGGATTTGTCTTTTCTAGGTACCTTATATAAGTAAAATTATGTAACATTTTTCCTTTTGTTACATGAGCTTTTATGTCCAGAGGAGTTCTATCTTGTTCTGTTTTTCTCTTTATAGGTCCTTTTTCCACTCAAGGGAAACTGTGGCTTATATAACTGAGAAATTATTTAGTAGTTTCCCCCCCTTTCAGTGTCTGCCCCCTTCTGTCTACACAGGAAGAAACACAGAAAGTTGTCTAAAATCATAAGAAAAACTTTGCTCCATGAATAGGGTCTTCATTTGCTCTATATAGAAATTAGACATCTATCTAACAACCCTGACTTCTCATTGACCACCTCGCCAAGTGGAGATGGTAGAGTAATTCATACTTCAAATTTCACACCTATTTGATGAATGGGTGCATTTTAACCTTTCAGGTTCATGTTAGCCCTTAGCGGCTCAGGATTTAAAGGCTATTCTGCCAAATAAGAGTCTAATTTAATAT